AGTCTACAATGAAATACTACTCAGCAATAAAAAGGAACTACTTATACGTGCAACAACATGGATAGGTCTCAAAATTGTTATACCGAATGAAAGAAACCAGACACTAAAGAGTCCATGCTGTTTGATTCCACTTACATAAAACTGTAGAAAGTGCACAGTAATCTATAGGGACAAAAAACAGTCAAGCACTTACCTAGGGCCAGAGCTAGAGGGAAAGGCGGACTGCAAAGGAACTCAAGGAAAATTTGGAGGTGATGAAGATGCTCTTTATTTTAATTTGGGTAGTTGTTTCATGGTTGTAAGTCCTGTCAAGACCCATCAATTATACACTTTAAATAGAGATGAAGTTTTTTGCATGCAAATTGCATCTCAGATCTCATGTGAGCTTTGTAATTTCTCTATGTTCCACTGTATATAGGCAAAGAGCTCTGTGACATATGGGGGATCTGGGTTGCTTTTAACTTCTTTTTTTTAGTAAACAAACTTCTTTGTTCTAGATTAGGTATTAGCAGACTATACTCTTGTGCCAAATCTAGTCTGCCCTCTGTTTTATCAGCATGCAGACATGCCCGTTGGTTTATTCTTGCCTATAGTTGCTTTGTTTGCTACAGAAGCAGAGTTGAGAAGTTGCAACAAATATTATATGACCTGCAAAGCCTTAAATAGTTACTCTTGGGTCCATTACAAATAAAGTGTGGTGGTCTTTATTGTAGATAATACAGAGTTAGATGTAGACGTGAGAATATTTGTAGGAACGTTATGTCAGAAAAAGGGTGTCTTACTTACCAAAATGAGTAAGAATGGTACATAGGACTTAAAAAAAGTCCATGCCCATCAATGTGAATCATCAGCAACAACAAAAATGAAAAGAGAAAGAGTCAAACATATTTAGCTTTTGAATCCTCAAATTACCTTGCATTAATCAATTCTTTAGAGTCAAAAGCTTTAGAAAGGCAGACTAAAATGAAACTTGTTAAGAGAGCAAGGAAGTACCTTATCAGCTCAACCAAAAATGTCTTGCCAAACTTCCCCTTATTGGGCATAAAATAAATAGAATCAACTGTCCTTTCTATTCACAAGGCAAAATCTGTATCTCAGTTTTGGTGAATAGTTAATTAGCAAATTACACTCAACCCCAGATTTTCTTCAAGTGTAATGAAATCCTCTCAGTTAAGGGTAGGGTAATGTGAGCTCTAGCTTTAGAAAATATGACAGGTTTGGCACTGGATCTTGTTTCTACCATTATGAGCATGTGATATTGGGCAAGATGCTTAACTTCTCAAACCCATGCCTTCTTCATCTGTAAAATGGAAACATTTCCTCAATTATGAGGTTATTGGGAAGTTTAAATGTGAAATGTAAACAAGATCCAAAAACAAAGTAGTCATTCAATAAAAGTTATGTCTCCCTTCTCCCATCACCATTGCAGCAATGATTTTATTAGTTAAGATGAATTTTATTGCAACATCCCAAGATGATATTGACTGCCACCACTCTAGAAAATGTTTAAGGTGTTAATTTGGGGAAAGATATTAATTAATTAATTTCTAGATAGGGCCTTAATTTTTACCTAGATCTTTGATCTAGACCTGTGATCTTTGTCTCTTCCTAGAGAAGTATGCTTGTGCTTCTATGTGTTATGAAATGCTTGCTATGTTTTCCTAATAACTATATTCCTTATACTTATTATGCAAGAATTTGCAAAAGTAATTTAAAAACCATTTACTTGAGGGGGAAAAGCTTTCTTGAAAGTTTTTTCTTCTTGTGGTGTTATCAGGATCCTTTTTAGAATTAAATACTCTCATCTTTTTTGAAACGATTTCACTAAGAGAAAGGCTTTTTAAATGCTGCAACTCATTTCATAATTTTATGGAAGAAATTGCGCAATTAAATTAGAAATATTAACTTTAGTTAGTTTCAGCATGCCACTTAAATAGGATCAACTATGAGACAATCCTTATATCTCTGCTCTTGTCTCATTGGGGGGGCAGAATTTATCTTTGGACTTCTGTGCAGCTATGACAATTCTGAAGCCCGAGAGACCCCTGTGCAATAGAATGAACTAAGCAAAGTGGAAACCTGCCATTCCTAGGACTGATTTTCAGCTTTGCCTGTTAACATATCTCCATTTATCGCCTGTCTTTAGAATTTAGGACCCTATCTATTTGCTTAGACTTGTTTTCCTCTTGTAAATTACTCCTCTGAATTTGAGCCTTAGTCTGCTGCCGCTACATTCTTCCTGCTTAATTAAACTTCCAGTTTTATTCCTTCCAGGTAGCCCTGGCCTGTTGTTACCCATATCCCAGCATGACAATGAGTCCTTGGTCATTCGTAGGTTCCAGTTTAACCTTGTATAAAATAGGAACGTTGAGCTCTCAAGCACTCTGCAGAGATGTACTAAAGACCAATACAAGAAGGTATTGACTGGTCACAGTGAGACTCATGTCTACAATCCCAGCACTTTGGGAGGCCAAGGCAGGAGGACTGCTTGAGCCCAGGAGCTCAAAACCAGCCTGGGGAACATCGTGAGACGTGGCCTTTACAAAAAAATCAAAAAACTAGCCAGACACAGTGGCACATGCCTACAGTCCCAGCTACTTGGAAGGCTTAGGTAGAAGCATCTCCTGAGCCTAGGAGTTTGGGCTGCAGTGAGCCACGATCAAGTCACTGCACTCCAGCCTGGGTCACAGAGTGAGACTCTGACTCCGACTCAAAAGAAAAAAAAAAAAGAGAACAAACATTATTCTGATTCGCCAGCAGAACAGATTTTCTTATTGCTGACATTGCTAAAGGTAATCTAAATGGTGATTTTAAGAAAATCATTTCTATAACGTTTTAAAATCACCAATCTAGAAGTTATCAAGAGTTTTAATCCTTAAAATACGTTTTCCTTAAAATAGCATGTGACATGGAGAAGGGAGAGTATTGCTGCATGTGCATACCTAGAAGAACTTAAAAATAGCAAATGAAAAGAAAGCTGTATATCACTTGACACATGAAAAGCCTACCTGAATACTGATGGGACTCACAAATAATCACCAGGAAGCTTAACACAAAACCTGAAGCTGTGAGCTAATCATAGCACGTCCTAATCTTTCAGAAATAAAAGGCAGCTGTGATTTTCAACACAACTCTTTCCCTTTTCTGTCTCTACCCAAAGGTTGTGTGTCCAGCTTACTCTTGAGGACCTGACTCTCTTGAGCACCATTCTGGGATTCAGCGTGGACAGCACTTTTCAGAAGCACTGAAAATGACAGTATTCTCTGTTAGTGGAATGAAAACCACTTTGCTCTGGTTTAAGAAAATGGCCCCCAGTGAAGTTAACAAAATGGTGTATGTATATGTGCATATTTTGAAGAAGTCACTCAAGACAGGAGAATGATATCTTTATTTTCATAATGTCATATTAAGCTAAATTTTTTTCTCAGCTTGATCACAGGAGAGCCTATTGTTTCTCCACTTTCCAGATATAAGACTTTGCTTTCTATACCTAAGTTATGTACTAACTGTGACCTAATAATCTATCATGTAAATAGAGCAACATGCCCTCTCTTACCCAGAGGTCAGTATTTCTTCACCCTCAGCTTCCTAGAGCTCAGGCCAGAATGCACAAGTGAGCAAATCTAACATGTCTGAACACTCAAAGTAGGCACCTGAGTGTCTCCATAATACAGTGCCTTTCTCTTTATAGCTCCACTCAGAACTGTAGATTGACTAATCTCATTTACAATTTATGGTAATCTTGGTTAACTTTTTCCCTAGGCCTAAAGATGTTTTGGAGCAACAAACACAAGTGCATTGGGATAGCAGCTGAGGAACAGGCACAAGAGCAGAAAAATCAACCACCAACAGCTGAATATAGAGTGAAAGTCCAAAAGCAGACAAAGACCTCTGAGAGCATAGAATTGAAAAACAGCAGTTCATAATGGTGATCCTTAGCCATCAAGTGGCTAGGTGCTGAAGATTTGTTTAAAGACTACAAAAGCAGAGGTTGTTGTGATGCCTAGATAGGTAAGTTTTTGTTCTTATGAAAATTTACTTATATGAGAAATTTTGTTCCTTGATAAAATGGGATAGCTGAGGCATTGCTAATGTCATTGAGGAGGGCCTCACTTAAACACTTTTTGGGGATCATTTTACATTCTTTTCTCTAGTGTTCTTGCAAGGAGAGTCTATATGCTCAGAGAAGGCAAGCCCATATGACTTTTGCCCAGCATGTGTATACTTTGCATAGGCACAATCAGGTGCTTAATGAATGTCTGGTGATGATGATGATCAAGAGCTTAATAACAGGGTTTCTCTAAAGGCTGATTAATGAGGCTTCAAGTTAATATCTTTTCATTTTCTCTTTGTGCTCTTTTTTTTTTTTTTTCTTTTTTGGTGTGTGGAGGTAGAAGGACTGTAAATTGAGTGTCCAATGAAAGAAAAAAATGTAGAAAGACTGTTCTATTTAGAAGTAAGTAGATGGGTTTCACAAAATATCTGCTGATGGTTAAATAAGATATCCAAGATTTTATTCCTATGACTCATTCTATGATTTAGACATATTTTATCTTAGCCAACCACCATTCCCAAGATTTTTATGACCACATTTACCATTTGCAACATCTGAAGTGGATGTGCAAAGTGAAGCGATCCTTAGTTCAATCAAAAGAATATTTATTACTTTTGCAACAATCCATCTAATGTGCTAGAAAACCAAGAGGTGCTGACAGTCACTGCGATCCCACAGTTCCACCATGCCACACATGAGGCCATTTAAGTTTCTGCTTGAATAGAACATTCCACGGAATCCCTTACCTCTAGGTTAATGGATGGTGACTCTCTGGTCTCAGGCGCCCATCTACTAGTTACTCTTGTCTCTCATAACCATTAAGTCAAGCACAAAAACAATTAAACTAACCTCACCCTAAATAAAACCCACTCGCCAATTTTGTTGCTATCTACCACCACCAGTCTTCTGGATTTACCACGTAGGAGGTATCTTTGATTTGTCTTACCTTCTCCCTCCCAAATCCATTTTTAGTGACAAAGCCCTAGATTTCTTCTTTACAGTATGTGTCTTCTGTCTTTCCCTCTCCATTCTCATTATATTGTCTTTGTCTAAGTCCATTGCCGCCTCACCTCTCGAGTAACTCCAGCAGCTTCTACCCCTCTCTAGTCACTTTCTCTCCAGTCCATATGGAATTACATTAATAAAATAATCTGCTTTAAATTCTGCTTTTAAACTCATCTTCAACAAAGCCTCCACTAACAACCACTGGGGAGAGGAGAACTTATTCAGTAAATGGTGCTAGGAAAACTGGCTGACCACATGCAGAAGATTAAAACAAGACCCCTAGCTATCACCATACACAAAAATCAACTCTAAATATAAAACCTCAAACTATAAGAACCTTAAAAAATGCAGGAGACACCCTATGGAAATTGGAACTGACAACCAATTCCTGATCAAAACCCCAAGTACCCATGCCATAACAGATAAGATAAACAAGTGGGACCTCATCAAACTGAAAAGCTTCTGCAAAGCCAAAGAAACCATCAAGAGAGTGGAAAGACAGTCCACAGACTGGGAAAAAATATCTGCCAACTGTAGAAATAGACAAAATCAGAATTACAGTTGGAGATTTCAACACTCTTATCTCAGCTGATAGAATAATTTGACATAAAATCAATAAGCATATTGAATATTTTAATTACCCTATCAACAAACACAATCTAATTATATTTATAAAACACTCCTCCCAATAACTGGAAAGTCTATACTCTTTTCATGTGCCCACAAGACACATGAAATAAGATAAGATAAACCTTATACCAGGTTACAAGACAAATCTCAATGCTTTTAAAATAATTTAAATTATTTGGTTGATTCATGTGTATTTTCAATCTCTTTTCTGCATTCTTGGGAAGAGCCAAGTGCCCATGTCATAAGAGATAAGATAGACAAGTGGGACCTCATGAAACTGACAAGCTTCTGCAAAGCCAAAGAAACCATCAAGAGAGCAAGGAGACAGCTCACAAACTGGGAAAAAATATTTGCCAACTCTATGTCTGACAAAGGCCTAACATCTAGGATCTACAAGGAATTCAAATGTGCTGAAAAGAAAAAAACAAAAAAACCCCATTACGAACTGGGCAAAAGATATGAATAGACATTTCTCAAAAGAAGACATATGAGCAGCCAACAGATACATGAAAAAATGCTCAGCCTTACTAATCATCAAAGAAATGCAAGTTAAAACCACACTGAGATACCACCTAACTCCAGTCAGGATGGCCATCATCAATAACTCAAAAAACAACAGATGCTGGAGAGGATGAGAGCAAAAGGGAACACTTCTACACTGGGAGTGTGAACTAGTAACTAGTGAAAACAGTAAACACCATTTTCAACCTCTGTGGAAAACAGCTTGGCAATTCCTAAAAGATCTAAAAATTGACCTCTCATACGACCTAGCAATCCCCCTTCTGGGAATATACCCGGAGGAACTCAAATCATTCTATAAAAAAGATACCTGTGCATGCATGTTTACTGCAGCACTATTCACAATAGCAAAAACATGGAACCAGCAGTGGTGCCCATTGAAAGTAGACTGGATAAAAAATAATGTGGTACATATACTTGATGGAATATTATACAGCCATAAAGGAGGACAAAATTATGAACTTCCCAGCAACCTGGATGGATTTAGAGTTTGTAATAATTAGTGATCTATCACAGAAAAAAAGAACTGCATACCACATGTTCTCATTCACGAGCAAACCGTGAACAATTATCATGATACTACAAGAAAGGAATTGACAGTAGTGGGAAACTGCCGCTGGGTGGAGAGGCACACTGCATCAATAAGGGTACCTGATCTCAAACAATGTAAAGTGGGGACCAAAGTGAGGCCCAAACATTACCTGTACAATGACCATTAGCATACCTAACCCTGAATTGTACCCTACATCTTTAAAATATAAATAAACAAATAATAAATAAATTCTGCTTTTAACATATCATGCTGTAACCCAAACTCTTCACTGACAACTTATTTTATACCATTTTATTTTATATCTATGAGACCAAGAGTGTAAGAAAACTCCACAAGCAGGGAAACATTGTAGAACTATTGTCATTACAGTAACGACCTTTTGTGACATAATGTGACGTATCTTCCCTGAAGATGTGAAGCTGCCACCAGAGTGCCATCCTGGACTCTGGTTAGGTCAGACTCATCACTATAAGTGAGCACATCCCACTCTTCCAACATGTTTCCTCCAGAAGTTGAATGAAAGTGCGGGCAGGTGCTTTTTTATATCGTGGAATGACCAGACCTAGGTGGTTTACCCAAGAGCTCTGTTCTTGACCTCCTGTCTTGTTTATTTTATAAAAGCCTTGGATGAAAACACATTACATTCTTATTGAATTTGCAAATATTGAAAGTGGAGGAAAATAAAAATTATGCCAAATGACAAGATCAAAGTTCAAAGAGAACTTCAACAAGAGGTCAAAATGGAGAGCACAAAATGTGACAGAAATAAATATATTTTGAACACTAGGTTCAAACTCCAACTGACTGGAATGGGGGGAACCCTGTATAATTATTATTCTAAAAAAAATTTCAGGGGAGGAGGTCAGGACAAGGGTAAGGACAGATTTTTATAAGAAAAAATAAAACCAACAGTTTTGTTTCCAAAATAGCCAGCACACACTTGGGCTCAATTAATAGAATTATGATGTCTAGAACAAAGGAGGGGCTAGTTACATGGTGTTTTTCACTGATTGGACAGCACAAGGATATTTTAAGTCTGGTTGCCATATCAGTTAACAAGTACATGAAGAATTATAAAAGATCTAGCAATCACATACAGTCTAGAAATACACAATATAGTATATAGATTTATTCACATTGAACTTGGGGGGTGGGGTATTAAGAAAGGATGCAATATTTGTGTTTTTAAGGACTATTCTGAAAAAGAAAGAGTAGATTTATTCTCTGTAGCTAAAGAGGGAAGAACTAAACCCATTGGTGAACGTTTGGAAGAGGTCAACTTTAGCTCTATGGGAAAAAATTACTTTCTACTGGTATGAGACATAAAGCAGTAGAATAAGATGTCTTGAAAACTTAACTTCTTGTGTCTAGATGTGTTCAAGTATACATTGAATGATATGGGCAATCTTGGAGAACAGAAAGTTAGACTAGATAATCTGAAGGTTATCTTCCTTTCATCTCTAAGGTGGGAATGCTCCCCACACCTGTAATAACTTCTCCTATCCCATCTCAATACAACATTTATCATATTTGCTCTTCACTGATAGACATCTCTGTCTTTCTCACTAGACTGGTAGCTCTTTGAAAGTAGAGATTCTGGTTACTTTTTACATTTATATTCCATGCTTCTAGTGCAATTTCATATGGAGCCCAGGTACTCAATATTTTTCAATGAGTTAATTGAATTATGAAGTTCTACCGAGAAAAATCCTGCCTGCCTTCAAGTCCTACACAAATTTTCACTTTCCACAGAATGCCTTCCCTGATCACTTCTATGACTTATTCCCAGTACCACACAATTTGCCATAATATAATTTCCTATAATTTTGCATTTATAATGTTGTCTAATGTGTACCATAACTATCTCCCCAGTTAACCTGTCAGTTCTCAGCGAACAAAAGAATACCTCTAGTATCATGGAGATAGACAGTAGAATGATGGTTACCAAAGGCTGGAAACGATAGTAAGGAGGGAGGATAAAAAGGGTTGGTTAATAGGTTCAAAAACACAGTTAGAAGGAAGAAGATTTAGTATTTAGTAGCAGAGTAAGGTGACTTTGGTTAACAATAGTGCATTGTATATTTCAAAATAACTAGAGGAGTAGATTTGAAATTTTCCCAACATAAAGAAATGATAACATTTTTGAGGTTATAGATATCCAAGTTACCCAGATTTAATCAATGATACACATTGGATGCTTGTATCAAAATATCACATGAATATATACAACTATTATGCATTCATACAAATTAAAAATAAAATAAATACCATTTTGACATTATGTCAACTAGAATTGGTTAGTGATAATCTGCTTATTAATTGACAGGAAAGTAATCTTCTAGAAAATTTTAGCATTAAAATATCATCTTCTACTTCTTACAAATAAAAAAACAGTAAGCAATTGTGTTCAATAGCAATGTTTGCTATTGAAGAAACATGGCAGACAGTACTTTAACCAAGTGATCAAAATTTTAATCACCCATAAGACAACATACTGCTGTCATTGACCCTGATATGATGCATTGAAAAGAGCACATCTTCACTTGTGTGGTATTCTTGCCAAAAATAAGTAACCTCGAACGGATCATGAGGAAACATCAGACAGACCCAAACTGAAGGACAGTCTACACGTTATCTGACAAGTAGTAAATCAAAAGAAGAAGGAAGAGGAGAAGGAGGTAGAGGAGGAGATGGAGGAGGAGGAGGAAGAAGAAAGAGGAGGAGGAGGAGGAGGAGGAAGAGGAGGAGAAGGAAGAAGAGAGAGAGAGAGAAGAAAACCTGAGACACGGTCACAGATTGAGACTGGGCAAACATGACACTAAGTGCAATGTGGGATCTTGGACTAGATCCTGGACCAGAAAAAGGACATTAGTGAGAAAAGTTGAGAACTTCTAATTAGGTCAGTAGATTGGTTAGTAATATTATAACAATGTTAATTTCCTGATTTTGATAATTGTACTGTGGTTATAAAGATGTTAACTTTAGGGGAGGCTAGATGAAGGGAGTATATGGGAACACTATACTATTTTTGCACCTTGTCTGTAATTCTCAATTATTTCAAAATGAAAATTTATATAAATCTGATTTTGGTTTTCAACTTGAGTGGGAATCCAGAAGACCAAAACAGCTACCTCTAACCAAACAGGGTGCCCTTAATTCTCATTATTCATGGCAGTTACATTCTACACAATTGCTGCAAATAGTGAATTAGTGAATACTAAAGCAGCGTTGCTCTTAGGGGAAATACTGGGTTTGTTTCCTGAAAGCCTCTAGTTACATTTTTGTCAGCTGATCACAGACAACCTTGTTTTATGTGTGTTTCTGTTTAAAGACATCTTATGTAACATACATT